AACCTTTTGTTTTCAAAGCATCCCAAAGGTTCTCACCCTCTTCCTCTCTCCTTGTTTCCCTCTCTCCCCACTCCCTCTCCCTCTGTCACTCTCCTTTCCTCCCTCTCTATCTTTGGCCATTTGAGAAATTAAAAAAAGGCAGTAGTTCTGCCATCAGGGCTGGTTTCGCCTTGGGTAGAGAACTGTATTCTATAGGGAAGCTTAGTGAGGGGCAAGGGAAATTCTCTTCCTCACTACTTTCTGATGGGTCACTGAAATAAACTGACAATAGAAATATTAGGAGGATAAAAAGCATATAAGTCTATTAATGTGTGTAAGAGTATCACAGAAAGGTGATTACCCAATAACTCATTGAGATTCAGAAACTTTTAAATCCTTCTTCATAGGCAAAAAGGAAATGGACAGATGTAAGCAATATTAAGGGTTAGTACATGATATTTGTAGAAGTTTAATGGACTCAAGGAACAGGCAATGGCCTGAGACAAAATTCCTCTGGACTCTAGGTGTGATTTGACTTTTAGGTCTTTTTTTTTATGGTTAAACTTTCCCAGTTAATGAGATTTTCCAATTGCATTCCTTCTGGGAAGGAACTATCTTTTGTTTAGATAAGGAAACTTTAGAGAAAGCCTCTCCCTGTGCTTCCAGAGAAAAGAGAATCAAGGCTGATCAATAGACAAGGAGTAGGGTGAGCCAGAGAGACCTTAATCCTGAGATTTCTCCACAGCAGCGTGACAAATCCCACACATGGGCAGTATCGTTTTCTGAGCCACAGTTAACATATCCCACCTAATAATCTCCAGTTTCAAATTTTGAATGGTCTGTCACTAAATAATAATTGGGTCAAGATTTTCCATAGGAATCCTTAAAAACAAAAACAAAAAACCCTGAGTGAAGTACAGAAAATTCTTTAATTGAGATTAAGAAAAAAAAATCATGAGTTTTTTGAGGTTTTAGAAAAGAGGCCCAACCCTTCTCTTTCCCTTTGATGGCCATAAAGGAACCATGACCTGACCCTTGGCTGTCATGCTTTTCCCCTTTTTCAGGCACTGCTGCTGGTAAGCAGCCAAAAGATTTGTATTTAATGACAAAGATTTGGTAGGCACCAGTCCCCATTGTTGATATTCTCCAGTGTCCCTTTAACCCCAATGGTCCACGATTAAGAACAATTCCTCTTGGAGATGCCAAAAAAGTCACAGCAGCCACACAGTTTGTATAGAAGCACAGAAACTGTCTGCCAAGCTTTCATCATAACTGAGGTAGCCCTAAGTGCTCTACAACTGCTCCTGGGACTCTGGCTGCAACAGCCTTGAAAACAGACCTATCCCAGATAGCTCCATTTTATGGTCACTCTGGATATCTTCTTCCCTCTGACACTCTTTTAAGTCTTCAAGAGGGTCCCCAAAATGCAGGAGATGCATTTGCATGGTCTGCTCCTCCTCCATGTAGGCAGTGCTCCTTGACACTTCTTGGATCAGTAGAAGAGTGCTTTTCCAGAACAGTGTTCCCCTGTGCTATAGGATAGGTTCTAATAAAGGCCTCACTTGAGTGATCCTATTCACCTTGGTGATTGTTTATCAGGTAGAGTTGGCTGAGCAGGCTGTATTTAAAAGTCCTTGGAACTGATATAGAGTGTATGATATGTGGTCCTTCAAATAATATAAGGGAAATATTGTAACTCTCAACCTGCTAGATATATGAAACCCTGAGTTCCTGCTCTCTAAATCAAAGAATGGATTCTAGGAACAACGGAGATTAAGAGAAGGAAGTATTTATTGAGAGAAAGATAGCTTCTGTCTAAAAGAGACAGTAGGGGTGTGGAAAATGGATTGCCTGCTGACCCTGTTTCTCAAGGGTGTTTTATTGAGCAAAGCCAGGAGGCGAGGCAGGTTCAAGGTGGGACAAAACTATAGTCAACTAATAAGATTACAAGTATAATCACTTAGGTAATATTGATCCAATGGGAAATCACAAGGTGGGAATGAGGTGGGACAAAACTATTGTCAACCAATAAGATTATAGCAAGTATAGTCACTTAGATAATATTGATTAAATGGGAATGAAATTGCTGTCATGTAGGGAGCAAACATGGAATGAACAAGGGTTTTCTGGGAAGGGGTGATTGATGCCTATTTAGAATATTGTACACTGATGTTTATCCCTAGGAGAAGTATGTGAATGTAGTCATTCCTTTTTTTCTTGAATTGTGGCCTTCAGTGAATGTGCCTCTGGCCACAATTGTCTTCTGTGTGGAGAGTCCAGTGCTGTCTAACTGCCTGTACTGTTCGTAACTACAATAGTAGCACCAGTAGTTTTTAACCCTTAAGAGTTGGGGATACCACAACTAGTGGAGCATGGATAGTCAAGACCTGTGGGCTTGTGGGGCCAGCCCAGACAGGGCCTAAGGTGAAGAGGCAAGAGAGAGGGATAGAAGCAGCCCACACCTCTAGCAAAGGCTGGGGCAGAAAACAAGCTAAGAGAAGCCAGAAGCCACTAGTGGAGATGGGCAGAGGCCTGAGGCCTGACATCCGAGGCCATTGGTGCAGGAGGCTTAGAAAAGCTGCCATCTGAGGTCAGCAGAGTGTTGTGCTGCAGAGAGGCAGGAAATGCGCCCTGTAGCCCAGAAGACCTCAGAGGAAACTATCACCTTTTGTTGTAGATGGAGCTGATAGTGAAACAGTTCAATTTGTACAAACCCAAATTTTAAATTTGTCTCATGAAGTTGAAAAATTAAATCATGGGTGAAAGGATGGATTTAGGAAAGGATTTATTGAAATAATAAGAAAAACTCTCTATAGCTATCCACCCTAAGGAGAGTCCAAGACGGACTGACAATGTGCTTTCTTTGTTTGGGCCTTATATAGATTAGCAGAGTGTGGGACCTTCTTTTCAACAGCTATCTTTGTGGGTTTTAGGGTTTAAAGGAAGTCAAGTTCAAAAGAAAGGAAACAAGTTCCTCTGTATTTTTGTTTTTTAAAGTTTGTCTTTATATCTTTTCTTATTTTAACTTTTATCCTTTTTATCTTTAATTTTACCTTTTTAAGCTCAACTAGTTATATGGCTTGAATTATCTCTTAATTCAGCATGCATGATATTCTCTTTGTATTTGGTTGACTCAGTCTTAGGCTTGTCTCTGTTATAATAATGGTGGCCAAAAGCTGCCAGGGGCTGTAACACTAAGACTATAATTCCAAGAGCAGTAATGCTAAGAGGAGGTACTGGCACTCAAGGCTCAGAACTGTGGCACTAAGAGCTTATCCAACAAGACAATGAGTTTTGGATACCTCCCATGAGACCGAGTTAAAACTCTAAGGGCCTATCCAGATTGCTTATGCACAAATAGACAAAATTACTTTTATTCAAAGTTGTCTATAGGAGGAATCTGTTGACCAGCTTTCTTCAAGTTATGGAACCATTCATACTGATTCATATCATTTATACTGAGTTGTCATCATTTACAGCAAATGGGACACTCTTTGTGATATCCAGTTAAACTTAGAATCCTCTCCATTGTTTTGTGAGGCATCTAGGTTATGCTGTAACCTTTAGTTTACCAAAAGAGAATGATTTATTCCCTACATAGTTTATGCCATTGCCATTAATAATGAATTGTATTTGGCAAAATCACAATTTATCTTTTGGGAAAAAATATATGTGAAAGCAAGTAAATGAATGGAGTACATTTTATAAGCTTTTATGTCCCTCAAATGAAGAAGTAGATTATGTACTTCTTGTATGAGAACTGAGTCATAGGGAAATTTAGATTTATTTAAATCTTGATTGAAGACATAAGAAAAAGTGGAAAGGGACTTCAGTGACCTTCTGGGGCATGACTATTCCCAGGAATAAAGGAAACACAGAGAGTGAAATGTAGAGGGTTTTGTTACCTAATGTATAGCCAGGCTGCTCACCACTTGAAAGCTAATATTTGGGAGATGAGAGTTGGCAAGCAGAAATCAGTCTTATTTAAAGGCTGGCACCCTAAAAGATGGAGAGGGGACTTCTTCCCTTAGATTTCATCTTCAAGAACTCAAGGATGAAAAGGACTTCTACAGGAAGGGGAACTAGGTACAGAGAGATAATTGGCAGGAAAGTAAAGTGTTGAGTGAGGGATTTGTCATCCAGGGCATATGTCTCCTTTTTTCCTCTGGCCACATTAACCTCATGGGGCTAGTTCCTGTGTTCTCTTCAAACAGAAATTACTGTTTGCAAGATAAACATCACAAGAATTTACATTCACAGAACTGAAGACTAAGGTTTGAAGGTCATCAGATTTCCTGGGTTCTGTAAAATTAAAGAACATGATTTGGCAATTAAAATCTTAATTATTTAGATGCAGCTTTTCTTTAGAATTTAAAATTCCAGGTGAAAAAGAAGAGACATGATTCTTGCAAAAAGGATAGAGAGGGCAATTAACCTTTTAGATGGACAAAAAGAGAAGCAAAAGTAAATCTGTTAAGGACAACTCCCAAAGAAGTGTCCACTGTTAGGTTTCAGGTATATTCTCTGATTGGAGAGTTTTGAGTGAGGGAGCTGGAAATAGGCTAATTAGAAGTGGAAGATTTATATAACTGATTTTAGAGAACATTTGGCTTTTCCTGGTTGATTCTTAGTTGGAAGCAAAAGCATAGAACACGGGAGCTGGGACTCACTGGCCAAGACCTGACCATTTGGGCTGATTGCTGCAGAGCTTATGACTTGTCTGCCCTGAATGGTTGTAGCAGAGCTTATGTGTCTGTGTACTGTTGTCATATATGTTATACCAATTGTTGTTTGTACCATCAGTCTCTCACTATCTGGTCTTCTATTAATCTTCTTATATAATTTGTCTCCAACTACATCTAGAAATGATTTGAAAAATAATCCATGTATAAGTTAAATTTTTACAGAAGAGAGATTATAATGTTTTGCCTAACCACTGACAGATACCTGAAAATCTATACATTTTTCTTTAATTTTACTAGACTTAATTTTTTTCTCTGTAATTCTTTGTCTCGTTACAGAGGATCTTGATGATTTAAGAATGGAGGGAGTAACAACCCTAGTACCTTCTGGGAGCAAATTCAACCAAGGCCGTTCTGCTCATCCTGCTGAGCCTCAGGCCAAGGTCACACTGAATATCTGTTCAAGGTGTGCCAGGTAAAACATGTAATAGTTATAGTATATATAAATATAATCTTGACTTTTTAAATCTAAGGTATTCATGCAAAAAGTATACTTCTCTCTGTTAGGAAAAGCTTTTTCTTCTAATTATCTTTTGTGCTAACACTGGTAAATTAGGTAGTTATGTACGTTATCCTTCTACTCAACACCACTCAGACCAACAATGAATCAAAGGGTTTAAATTGTCTTCACTTCACAGCTTGACACTATGTTAAGTCTTTTTTCCTCTGAATTTCATTTGGTGTCTGCCCTTCTTTTCCCTTTCAAAGGAAGATTAAAAGGGTTTTGAAGGTTCAAAGACACTTTTAAAGCACCTGCATAATGAAAAGTTTGCCCAGGTACAGTTTAAGACCTGATATTATTGGGCCTTTTAACCTGTCCTTCATCCTGTTCACCTCCTGGAAAGAATTTAATCAGCTTGATGCTTTTCAGTTTTGGCAGATGGAAGGAATCTTTGCATATAGTATATGTGGCCAAAGAAGTAGCTTCTAGTTACTGCCAAGTCAGCAGTCAGTGCTAGTCTAGCAGAAATTCACCAAATAGCTTGAATTCATTCTTTTGTAGGAACTAAATCTCATTTGCAAAGAGACTTTAAGTCTGTTTAAATGATAAAACAAGCCTTCTAACCCTATGTAAATGGTTCAGATTAGCAAGAACAATGTATTGGCTGACCAATTTTACCTCCTTTCCTTTAAATCTCGCTGTTCTATTGTACTGTTTGAGAGGGATTAGCTGCTTGGTAATAAGCAGGGGGAAAGTGTAGGAAAATCAAATCAGATTTCTGTAGCTTTTCCTCTTTTACTTTATCCCTTAGGAATTTTTATTTTAATTACCATTGGCTTACCAAAATAGAAAGGATATCCCTCAGAAAATTAGAAGATGCTGTTTGAGGCCATTAAGAAAATGCCCCTAGCACAGTGAAAATACCAACAGAAACACTGCTTCAGACAAAATGTATTTAGCAAATTCGTTCCTTTTTAAAAAATTTAGCGCTGTGAAGAAAACTTGTAATATTTATGCATTCTGAGTGTACATGATCATGTATAGAAGAGTTATTTGACATTTAGTTTTAAACTTTAGAGTTTATTTTTGCATTTATAATTTGACTGGAGAGGGATTAGGGCTTGGTCTTTCATATCATATGTAAAAGATTGGGATATGAGATATTTGTTTTTTCAGAAGGAAAAGCCTATAACAATAATGTTTTACTAAACTATTGAGGATTTGAATTGGGAAATGATAAACACATACTTGGCCCTACATTGTCATTTGGCTTACCAAAAATAGTTATGTTGTAAATTTCAAATCATCTGCATTAGAGGTGAGTTCTTTTGGTGGGAATAAGACAAGGTAATTTCAAAGGGAAAAGATCATAATATTTCTTCAAAGGAATGTGAGAAATACTGTGGAAGAAGACATTAATCCATTTATTTTATTTTATTTTATTTTTGGTACCGGGGATCCAACTTGGGTCCTTGCGCTTGCACAGCAGGAGGTGAAACCACTGAGCTAAATCCCTGGCCCTAATTTGTTTATTTTAGAGTAGCCACTGTTGTTGGAACTTAGAGTAGAAGAAAATGATTGTGAAGACCTTTGAAGAATCTGAGATTTTGAAATACAAAACATTAGTCTGTTGCTATTTTATGTATGCTAACAGAAGACATAGATTCTTAGGGTAGAGACCATGGAGTTTATTACTCTTAAGAATACCAACAACCATGATATTAGCATCCTCAATGATTTCCTGCGTCACAGTTCTCACAGAGTGACACAAATAGTGCAGTAGATTGCATTACATGAGGAACCCGAGTTTAGGAGCGCTGAATGTTTTATAATAGATAGTTAGCATGCTTTGTTATTGCTGTAGGGGTACTTTCATCTATCTTTCAAAGTTATTTGTTATAAAAACATAATTGAGCAGATTGTCTGAGACAAAGACGGCCTGTATCTCTGAACATGAGATGAACAGTTCTCATGGAGAACTATCTTCCAGTACTGCTTAGGATGGATTGCTTTTGTGATGCACTGATATTGTTGTCAATGTTTTCCATCTTTAATTCTCCAACACCAGCTTATGACACTGTCTTACTTCTCTTAGTTGCAAGTAAGGCATTTAAGACTATAAGAACTTCACATTTTAAACCAGGCCTGATAATCACGGGAGGCAGAAAGTCATAAACTGACACAGTTTCTAATAGTTTTGTGTGCCCACGTATGGGTTAGTTTATTTGGGCTGTTATAACAAAATTCAGTAACTGAGTAGTTTATAATTGATAATAAATATAAACTGAGTAGTTTATATTTATTTCTTATAGTCTGGTTCTTTATTTACAAGTCTAAAGTTTGGAGGCCTTCATTTGTAACCTCTGATTTGTACAGGCTGTGTGGAGGGGGGAAGACTTTCGCTCTATCATCTAAGGTTTCAATAACTGAGTCTATATAAACAAACTGACAATATGCAGGTAAACATAAAAGATATATCAATTTATTATGTGCACAGGACATCCTAGAAAAGCAACATGAAGACCCAAAAACCCACTGAGGTTTAGAATCCTATATTTCTCCTTCATAGGAGAGAGGAGAGGAGGGATAGAGTCAGTTTAGGGGAGAGGAAATGACTTTTGGGAAAGAAGAATAGGTATTTAGAAAAATAAATGGTAGTTTGTGACAAGGTGTCTGAGTATGGTTTTCTCCAGTGGACTTTTAAAGAACATCCAATGTACTTTTCTATGATAAGAGTTCATTTTTCCTGGTTGATGAAACTCCCCAAGAGAAGATTGAAGACAGTTGAGTATCTTTTGGAGGATCTGTCTTTAGGTAGTTCAGGGAGTTCAGAAGGAACCTCCTGCTGCACTTGCTGTTTTTTCAAGTGCCTTTGCCTCAAAGTAATCAATACATACAAAAAGCATATTTTAGAATGGCATGTCTCAAGCTCCTTCATCTGAAACTGATGTGCAGTGAAGAATCTGAACTGGAGAAATGCAGGTGAAAGAATCTGGCCAGAACACTGGGAGAAGAATCCAGTGACAGGAAGAGAAGGCAAGATCCCAATATCTAGGAATGCCAGTGATACAGGGGGAAGAGATGTAACTCCCAAACCTGCTAGATATCCAAAACGCAAGTTCATGTTCTCTAAAATGGAAGAATGAATTCTAGGAACAATGGAGGTTAAGAGTAGGAAAAATTTATTGGGAGAAAGAGAGCTTCTGCCTAAGAGAGACAGAAGGGGGACCATAAAGTGGGATGCCCGCCCACCCCACTTTTCAAAGATGTTTTATACAGCAAAGCCACGTGGTGAAGCAGGTACAAAGTGGGGCAAAACTGTAAGACTCAATGGAAATTTACAAGGTGGGCATGCAGTGGGGCAAAACCATGAACAACCAATAAGATTACAAGTATAGTCACTCAAGTAATATTGATTAAATGGGGGGTCAAATGGGGGAACAAGTCACGTAGCAAGTGTACAAGGATTTTCAGTAAGGGTGGGGGTTAGGGATATTTCCTGGAAAGGCTGGGTTAAGATCTTGGCCCCCCACCCAGGAGATTGATACCTATTTAGAATATCAATCACTGCTATTCATCCTACATGGATGTGGTAGTTTCTCTTCTTTTACAGTTTTGCCCTTCAGTGAATGTGTCTTCACTGTCCTCCATGTTGGCTCCTCGTGGGCTGGCCCTGTCTAACTGTCTACAAGATATCTAATTAACTTACCTGCAATACCAGGTTATCAGTAAGGGTTTAAGGCTGCAGTCTTCAAGGGATGAGGGAATTTCTTAGAATTCAGACAGAACAAGCAAGCTAGAAATGCAGTGCTGGAGACCAACCATCATGCGTGGGGCAGACAACTTAATTTTCTCTTTGTAGGCACCAAAGAAAAATATGGGGTCAAATTTTAATTCCAAATCTTATTGGATTGGAAACAGTGTGGTGTTGATGGATTAAAAAAAAGTTTAGTATAATTATTGTTAAATTATATAAATTTATTTACCAATACATTTCACATGATGTTACAGCTAGAGTAGAAATACAACCTTGTTCGCAGTCTAACTAAAGGGATCAGATGTCCACGCTGTATATTACTTACTGTGTCAATCATGGAAAAATTATGCAGAGAATCAGAAAAGCTCATTTTTTTAAACTCTGAACTAGAGTTTATATAATTTGGAGATAACTTCCAAGGAGGACTGGGATGTCTGGGTAGGAAACTATGTGCAGAGGTAACTAAAAGTTTTCAAGGACAGGGATCTCAAGAAACAGGGTTCTCTTGTCTTTCACTCACTGGGATAATTACCATGTAAACACTGGAGCAGTTTAAAATGCTACGGTTTATTTTTTCCCCATCTTTTTGGGAGACTCACATTAAAGTGCTAAGCCACTGAAGTAAAAAGCAGCATTATTTTACTGACGTGGGGTGTCTTAGTTATTTTTCTCTCATTGCTGAGACAAAACAGTTGACATTCAAAGTTAAGGGAGGAAAGGTTTATTTAGTTCACAGTTTGTAAAGATTTCAGTCCATAATCGGCTGGTTCCAAGGCCAAGTGGCACATGGCCGACAGGCAGAAGGTAGAAAAAGCAACAAGGGACAGTAACAGCTTCTTTCTGCCCCTTTTATCTTATCCAGACTATTTAGGGCAGGTAGCACTCATACCCTTAATCCTAGTGCCTTTGAGCCTAGCATTGAATCCTGAATCAATCCCAGTATCACACATTCTAGATCCAGCCACCTTTTCAAAAAGCCCCACTATGACTGTGTAAGGCTTTATGTGGTCATCTCCACCCAAATCATAACATAGGGGAATTTTTTCCCCAGGCCTTAGACTTCTTGAAGTTCTGTGTTCAATTAAACAGAAACAGTGTAAGGTAGCAATATTTTTGTTCATTCATTTGTTGTTTCTTAGAGTTTTAAGGTCATAAAGTCATTTTTTCCCAGAGATCTAGGAAGGTAATATGTAATGAGTAATATATATAATTTTTT